ACATTCATTTCCCTCCAGACTATCCTTTCAAACCGCCAAAGGTATTGCTTCATTTGATATACTTTCAACGAGCCGTCAATAAGCACCAGATTTTATTTTTTTTTGCTATATGCTTGCATCTTTTTTTTTTCTTATATGAATTCCTTGTTTAAAATGCTTTGTTTGATGCGTTCATTTTCCTATGATCCAAGTGCACATAATGGTCGTTAATATTGGCTAATTTAAAGTGCTACTTAATCTGTGTTTTTCTTCCGAGAAGATTTTTTCCAAAATATCTTTTTGTTTCTTCTATGAGAAGTTGGCATTTGATGTTTAGCTACAATCAAACATTGATCTATTGAAATGATCTATCCAAGATGCTGAGGGTTGAATGGAGATATTATCTCTTGCTTTTATTATCTTTGGATATTCTAATGGTCTAATAGAACGTAGACTTACAGTTACTTAATATGTTAGAGAAATTTCTTTTTTTGCTTTTGTACAAAGGTGATCATTGTTAGATTTATTAGTTGATATTGTTTTCGAGCCACTTGTTTCTCTAGAGAAGAAATTGCGTTACTTTGCTGTCACTCTGCCGACAGTTACTATGAATGTGCATGTTAGCATTATAGCTTAATAAATCATAACAGCTATTGTGGATGTGTAACTAGTGTTTTATTTTATTTTTTTTCAGAGCAGTTTTATTTGGTGCTCTGTGTTATTAAGTTAAAACAGCGTTTTGATTTGCTTGCGTGTAATATAATTTTGGTAAACTAGATTATTTGGAAGGATTAAGCCCATTGCTTTTTGTGAGTTCACGATAGGGAAGGCTTTGTTTTGCCTTGGTCTCTTGTAACGCAAACTTGCTTCCAAGAAGCTGGGAATGTAAAACTGTTTTGAGATCATAAAAATTTGTGGTTGTTACCTTTTGTTATTTTTGTAATTGTACTATCATGCTAGGCTTAGAAAGGTCATGTTTTTAATGAAGGAGGTCAATTATGGAGGCAACATTTGTGCCTAGTGAATTAATGCAAAAGGGATCTTCATATTATTTTTATTTTATATGGAGTAACTATAGTTAGTAGTGTTTGTGGAGTGATCATAGAGTTCCAAATTACTATAGGATTGCATCAATGATCAAAATTAACTGCACAATTTTTTGTATTAACTACGGAGATACTGATTGAGGAGTGTTTTGAGTGAGGTATCCTGATGTTATGTTTTTTTTTTTTTTAAGTTGGTTCTCTAATTAGTTAGGCTTGCATTGAAATCAGTGGAAAATTAGAATGGAGGGAATATTTATAAGACTAGTGCTTTAAATTAGTAGAATAAATATTGAATATATAATTAGGATTTTGTGGTCTTTAAATTGATAATTATCAATCAATATTGTTAGATGATCAAGTGATACTTATGCGTGATAGGTTTAAATGGGTCTATTAATATAGAAGAATGGTGACATAGATGAGATTATAATTCAAAGTTAAAGTTGGTTTGTTAAAATGGAGAAGTATTTCAAGACTAATGATAAAATAACTTTATGAAGATGCAAAAGTTAATATTATGAAACTGACTTTAGTTCACCATGTTATATGGTTTTGGGTGTTGGACAATAAAGAAGTCATTGCTAGTCAACTTAGTATGTTAAAAATTAGAATGTTAAGGTGGATGTATAGATTAGTTGTACTATAGGAGTAGCTTCTATTGAGATAAGTTGTCATAAAATGGACTTGATTTGGGCTTGCACAACGAAGGATAGAAGATGCAGCAATGATTATGTATGGCTAAAAAAATAATGTAAAAGGATGAAGTGTGGAGAAAATGCAGTATGGTTAGTTGTTATCTATAAGATGTATTTAACACTTCAAGCAACATTCAACATGGACAAATGAAAAAATAAGCATTTATAAAATAGATTCCAAATAGTTGATGATGAGCCATTGCCTGATCTCAAACTCATGCTATACCATTTTATTAACTTCTCGAAGTAGGTTGGAAACTTGCAAGAAGTCGACTGTTACTAATGGTCTCATATTTAATTTGAATTTCCAGTTTAATCGATTGACTCTTCTGTTGCTGAAGTTTCCATTTTGCTGTCCTATACGGGGAGTTGGAAAGTACATAACGTTTATAGCTCTTTCCTTCCTGTAATTCAGTTTATCTATTATTTTATAAAGTTGTAATAACACTTGGTTCTGGTTTAGAAGCTTTCACTAAGTTTGATTATTGCTTAAATTACCAACTTTCTCTATATTCTCTTGCATTTTAAATCATGTTTAGACGCTTATTTTCTATAAACAAAAAAATATGGGTATTGCAGGTAGCTTTTAGAACTAAAGTCTTTCATCCAAATATCAATAGTAATGGAAGTATTTGCCTCGACATTCTGAAGGAGCAGTGGAGCCCTGCATTGACCATATCCAAGGTTATTGTTATTCTATCCAATTAGTGTTTCTTTTGTAGAACTTAAAGCCTTTGTGCGAATTACTATATTGATCGTATGCTGTTGTTTTTCTAATCTACACTGAATTATTGTTGTTTTTGCAGCCTTTAACAAAAAACCCTGCCATCCTTTATTTTATTTTATTCATTTTATTTGAGAATGGGGAATGATAAATAGTGAAATACATGACTTGAACCCATTACCTTTTTTGTTGGGATTTTTTTTGGGAAATAAGAGCCACGTCCAACCAATCTCATTAATTAAAATATGAGTAGAAGTGAGTTGCAAATTCACTGTGAAATGGCCAAAAATGTACAAAAACGACATGACAATTGTCAAAACCTTAAAAAACAAAATTTAACAAAACAAAACTTTAACTTAGCAAAATAAAGTCATATAATATAATCAAAACAGGGCTCAAAAATATTGGAAGGGATTTGGAAGTTAAGTATGCTTTGTACTCCCAGCAAGATGACGGTACTTGATCAAAGGCAGCCATGCCAATATCAACATATCGAAATACATAAACATGTAAGGTGTCTAGTCATACCCAGTAAAAACATAATCTTCGTTGAGTCTCTTATAATGGTTGAATATTAATTACCATAGCCCCCCAAAGGAGTAAATATATTTGAGAAAAATATGCCCAAAATGAGTATGTGAATATCGCAGCAAAATTTAATTGCATAAAAAAACAGAAGGCTACAGTAGCTTAAATCGAAACAATAGCCAAACTTGAGAACCAAACTGCTGAAAACAATACAATTTGTTAAAATCAAAGTATGTTATTGAAGCAAGTTTTTGATAAAAATGGAGAAAAGAATCTAGTCAACTAAAATATAAATTTGCAATTTGATCTGGCAGCTCACATATGAATTTACATTTTCTGCATTTTTGAAAAATTGCAAAATGAATCTTTTCAACCAAATTATTATGTGAATATTCCTGTTATTGAAGATCCACTTTTTTCCTTATATAATAGGTTTAAAAATATGAATATTGCCCTCAAAGGCTATTGCTCGATCTCCTTTATCTACATTTCAAACTTTATTACTTCACTTAAGGATGAACAAATTCAAATTCCTCAAAGCTTGGAAGCTCAACCTTTCAATAAAGGTGATGAGGACATCGAAGATCAACGGCTACGATCTTGAGTTATTTATTTATATGTACTAGTTTATTTCATATTATTATTTTTCCCTTTATACCCTTATGGGTGGTCATGTAGTATTGTAGCCCGAAGGGCATTTTAGTCTTTTATTTCTTTTCTTTTCATGAGGCCTATTTATAGGCTAGTTGTTTTGTATTTTGGGATGATGAATTGTTAATGAAAAAAAAAATTATTCTACTTGTCTGATCTCTTGGTGAGTTCATGAGAGGGGATTGATCTCTTAGTGAGTTCATGATAGGAGAAACCCGAGGAGGGTGACCGCAATACCCGTCAACCTTTGGAAGAGTCCAAGGTTCGCGGTTCTTACGATCTCTTTGTGAGTTCGTTAGTTTACTTTTATCTTATTTGTATTTTTTTTTTCATCTCCTTTCTCCCCCACTTCCTCCACCTCCCTCCCAAATTCCACCGCCACCGTTTGCTTGGATATCATTCATCAAATTCTTCCCAAAACCCCCACCACCGGCCTATTCCCAACTTCCCACCGAATTCCCTAGCCCCCCTCTCCACCATACCGCCGGCCCCCCTCTTTGCCCCCACCATTAATGAGGGTTAATAGCCTCATTACACCTTCCCAAAATAACATCCCTTGAGTTAGGAAAGAGAAGTCCCCAATTTTGAAATTCGAATTTTGAATTTTAAAATCTTTCCTAATTTGCCACCATCATATTTGGAAAGTTTTAAATCTCATTCAATTTAATTTTAAATTGAATAGGATTTAATTATTCCTCCTTATTTAGTGTGCTGCATTTAGCATTTAGAAGCTTGAAAATCCTCTCCAATTCCCTAGTCCCTACCCCTCTTTAATTTGAATTCAAAATTCAAATTAACTCCCTCCAAATTCAACTTAAATCTGAAATAAATCTCAGATTTAATTCCTAATCGCAATTAATGCCTTGGTCCACATTCATTGAATGTGGACACAATTTTCCCCTCCCTCTTTATGGCCGGCCCCTCTTCCCCTCTTGCTTAATTATTTCCTTCCTTATTGAAGGCTTCAATTAGGGAAATAATTAAACACCCCTTGTCCTTTTCTTTCTCTCTTATTTGAATTTCAAGATTTAGATCCCTAACTAAGACGAATCTGAAAATAACTTCAGATTTTTCCCTCCACCACAGGCTACAAAATCTGAGACTGTTTTCATATTTCCTTTTCTGGAGAGCCATCCCCGAATCTCACTCTTCCCTAAGCCGTGACCAAGGGGAGGTATTTTCTGCTAGCACACCACTATTATCCAACCTCTGTTCATGCACGAGGAGTTGTCCAGAGAGCTACAGCAAGTTCTTTTACTGTCCCAACGTCCAGGATTTCATATTTTGCTGTCCAGAAGGAATTCCAGCTAGCTTCCCTTGCTGCCCAACAGTCTGGCAACTCCCGTATGCTGCCCAAGTTATTTCCAACAGTGCAGTTTGCTGTCCAGGGAAAATCTGCACCTGTATCTTGCTGTCCAGTCAATTGAAAGGTCTTCAAACGCTGTCCAGACGTTTCAAATTGTTGACCACGCTTTCAAGAAGGTTCATGGATGCCACCTACCTCCTTCCAAGCCTCCCTATAGCATCCGGAACTTCATATCTTCCGATTATTTGGGTAAACTCTCCTCCAAATCTTTAATCTCTTAGTCGCTACTCAATTGTGGTTTATAAGTGATTCATGAAGGTTCATGCCATTCTCTCCGCTAACGCCTAGAAGTTGAAAGAGTTGAGTGATGGGCATCTCTTAGTGACTAAACTCATTGTTAGTTTAGGGATTATCGTTGAACACCTCTCATGTATGAAACATTAGATTAACTTGATTGTTTTCTGATCTCAACTTTTACGCGTGTGATTCGGCCTAAACTTTATTTACCGCTCTTTGGTTTTACTTAGTTGTTTGAAATCACTTTAAAGATTTAATTATTGTGCTCTAAAAATTAAGCGTGCAAACTCCTTAATTTACTCATCCTTGCCTGTACGTTTTATATCAAAAGGACTTCTGACTAACGCTCTTTCTACCAATAAAAAAAATCTTAAATTATTGCTCCTACTTGTGAGCATAAATGGATTAAGCAAACTCAATGTGCTTGGTTTTTCAAAGGAGAAGACAATATCAAATTCCTATACCAAAGAATCATGAACAGAGGGAATTGCAATCATAATAGAGAGAACTCTGGTACTAATGGTTTCTTATGTTCTCAAGATGACAATGCTAATGAAGCCACTCCCATTTTGATTCACTTATCGATATCAATGCAAATATCTCTCCTTATCCATCCCTTAATTTGTCAGTGGACCATATTATTTGATCATGATTTGGGTAATCTGTTAACTACTTTTATTGATGACGAGATCAAAAAAGCGCTTTATAGCATTGGGGTTGATAAAGCACATGGAGTGGATTGCTTTACTTCTAAATTTTTTGAGGACACGTGGCATATCATTGGTTCCTCCTTCACTGAAGCTATCTAATATTTTTTTACTATCAGTGGAACTATCTTCGTTATTGGTTTCTCTTTGTTACCTTACCTAAAGAGCTAAGGAAAAAAAATTACATCCCTTACCAGCAGCTTTTTTGCATACTAATGTGGACAAAAAACTACGTATTATTTCTTGGAATACAACCACCAAGTCTATTGATATGGGAGGTTTGGGCTTTTATTTTGGATGCTCTTAATCTAATATGCAAAGCTAAACTCATCTAGAAACTCTATAATAATAACCCGTACTTCTTGGAGCTTAAATTTTATGGTTATTTGTGGAACTTGCCTACTCAAAGAGCTTCTTCCTTTTTGGAATTCTCTTTACGGTTGTGATAGGAAATACTTGAGTTCGCAAGTAACCTGTAACCCTAAGGTAATACTTGAGTTCGCAAGCAAACCTACCCAAAATTAGTACAAAACAAAGAGGAAAACTGCTATTCGCAGAGAGAAAACAAACTAAACAGTGGGAAATCTGAGAGAAACTTAAGAGAACTTCATAGGAAATCAAAGCAAACACTTGTATTCCACTAGTAGATGAAAAGCCCTTGCAAGATATAATTTTCCTTCAATTTGAGAGGAAGGAAATACTCTCCACAATCTCCGGCAACGCCAAGAGCCCAAGAACAAACCCTAGATCTCAAATAAAATTCAAATTCAAGATGATCCTTAATTCCCCCGCAATCCTCCTAATTAACAATAAAGGGGTTTTACAAAATACCTAAAAAACCCTTATATTTCAAAATTTCCCTCCACACAATGCGTCTAACCCATGCTTGGGCCCACCAGGCTTTCGCCCCCTCCTCTGGGTTCCGCCTGGTTCCGCCCGGCCTTGAGCCGCCGGGTGTAGAACCGGACCGGTCCAGCTGGGACCGGTCCAGGCGTAACATTATTCCCCTCCCAAAGATTCACCTTGTCCTCAAGGTGAAAGTATGGGAACTGCTGCTTCACCATCTCATAGGGCTCCCAAGTGACCTCGTAGTCGGGGAGATCCTTCCATTTGATCAACACCTCTTTGTTTCCCTTTTTATCCAACCTTACCCCTTCCAGCTCCACGGGTTCCATGACCACCTCCAAATTCTCTGTCAGTGATGCTGGCAATTCCACACTTGTTGCATGCTCTCCAAGTGCTCTCCTCAGCTGCGACACAAGAAACACCGGATGTATGGTAGCTGAGGAAGGCAACTTCAGACGATACGCCACTACTCCAATCTTCTCCAAGATCTCATATGGACCAAAGTACCTCGGGGCCAATTTCTTGTTCCTCCTGTTAACCACTGATCTTTGCATGTAGGGCCTTAGCTTCAAGTACACCTTCTCCCCTACTTCATATTGTATGTCCCTCCTGTGTGTATCCGCTC